GCCTCAGGACCCACTTGTAAACCCAGCAGGTGCGGGTGCCAGGGCTGGCTTGGTTCCCTGAAGACCCAGTGGAAACTGAACGGGAAGGAGCAGCTGCTGGCCTGGCCAATCCCGGGTCTGGCATGCTGGACTCAGCTCCGCCTGGGAGCGTCCGGGGAGCCCTGGGCCCCAGACATTTGCAAGGCCTGGCTGACAGGCCATCAGCTCACGAGCCAAACGAGGATCCTTGAGCGGGAGCCGGCTGTCTCCCTCAGGCACTTGGTCTAGCACCCCGCTCCTGGCTCCCTTGTGGCCCACGGCTGGCCCTGTCCCATGTGGACGGGGGTGGGGTGCTGTGCATCAGCTGGTGTGGCTCTCTCTGCCTGTGGTCAGTGCAGGCCGCTCCATACCCAGGGCCCAGGACCCCCAAGCCCAAAGACCAGACCTCCCTTAGAACTGAGGACTCCTGGGTGCCTACTCAAGCACCCCCCACACCCCGAGCACACAAGGCCCTGGTCCAGCTGGTGGCCAACAGTGAGCCACCTCAGGATGTCCCCAGGGAGGTGGCTGGGCTGGGAGGAAGCTCCAAGCATCTGCTTCCTCCCGGAGCCTCTGCCTAGGTTTCTAGGCCGTGGTTCTCCAGCCCGACCCAGGGTCCTTGCCCCCAGGGGCTGAGAGGGCCCCACATGCGTGGGCTGGCAAGGCCTGCCCTGAAGCTTCAACAGTGCCCCTGCCCACCCGGCTGGACACCTGAACCCACTGTTCCCCACACCCCGGCACAGCATAGTCCCCAACACAATCACAGCCTATCAGGGTAAACAGAAGGCTTTTCAGGCCCAGCACTTGGCAAGAGGTGACCACTGTAGTGGACAGGCTGTCACAGCCATGGTGTCACCCATGGCGGGTTCCTCACACTGCCCTTTGGATGTCTGCCCGCAGGGCAAGAGCTCATGGGGATGCCTCTCGGACTCAACCCATTGTAGGGCCTAACCTGAGTGGCCAGTGAGCAGAGGAAGGCAGTGGCATGGGAACCAGACCTCTGCGGGGATGGACTGGTCTGGGCAAGACCCCAGGCCTTAGTGAGGATGCTAGAGCTACCTGCAGACAGGGCTTACTGGAGCAAGGCCTGGGGATTGTGGTCTCGGTCCCATTTCCTGCCGGCTGCTGGCCCGTGAGCCTCAGGTCTTCTGCAAGAAACTGGACAGCCAGAGATCTGGCCCAGCACCCTGCCTGTGACCCCCAGCACTGGATGCCTCTCTGCCAGCTGCTCCAGCACTGGGGCCATTTTCTGCTCCCTCACCTGGTGGCCTTGCTTAAGCCCTGGGAGTGGGGCAGAGGCCCAGCCTGCCATCCCTATGGAAGGCCCTGGAGTCTCCCAGTGTGGACATAGCATCTCACAGACATGAGTAACCCAAGGCCTTTGAGGGGCAAGAACTGGCTGTGTGCAGGTCCAGACCTGGGGCCGCTACTCTCATGGCCCAACAGTGGCTTGGCACATCACAGCAAAGGTGCTTGGGAGAGGCTGGAAGCCAGATGTGGCCTCTTCCGCTGTCCCTGCTGCAGCTATGGCTGAGGAATCCAGAAAGGCTGGTTGGCCAGGTGGCTCAGCCTGATACGAAGCTCCCCACCAGGCCAAGAGATGAGGGTCTTTGTCTCAGGCCCTGCATCCAGTCATGCTGGGCACCCAAGGACCTCCCAGCAGTCCTAGCAGTCTGCTCCCTAAAGGGTGGACTGGCAGGCGTGGGGGCTGGGCAGCCCTGGAATCCCTTCCCGTGTGTGCGCCTACAGGGGGCTGCACGCAGGCTCAGCTCCCCAGGCCCCTCCTGGCCCTGGTGGGAAGAGACACACAGACCCCTGTGCCCCAGGCGGGGCCCACCGGGCAGCTGAGCCTCACACCCCCACAGCTCTGCAGTGGACACACTCCAGGCCCTGCTGCTCCGAGGTGGCAGCCAGGACGTGGCACAGTGCATGCAGTTGGAAGGGGGCTGGGAGCTGCTCAGGACCTCAGCAGGGCACGAGGAGGGGGTCGCCCGGCTGGCCAGGTAAGCAGGCTGAGTTCTGTTCAGGGGACATCCGAGGGCCTAGGACCCCTGGAGCTGCCTAGGAGGGGCATCCATGAGCCAGAAGAGGAGGCCGTGGGAGGGGGTGTCTGAGAGGAAGAGCTGGAAGGCTTGGGCAGGGCTGCCAAGAGTCCTGGCTATGCAGGGTGAGGGGTGAAAGCGCCCTGAGGTGCACGTGAGTGGACTGGACGGGGCCTGTGGGCTCCAGGCAGGCTGCTTCAGCCTCTGAACCCCTGGGGGCCTCCCTCCCCAGTGCCATGGCCCGGTGTGCAGGGCCCCGGCTCCCCCTAGTGGTGAAGGCGCTTGTGTGCACACAGAACAGCCTGTACGAGATCCAGAGAGTCACCTCCACTGCCTTCCTGGCTGAGGTAGGACCCTGAGGGAGGTGGGGGTGGTCACGACTTCCTGCTGGGCACTGGGGAGACACCAGCTCTGTCTCATAACTGAGTAGGAGCCCACAGGTGGTGCTGCCTCCCCAGCCCCTGTGGAGCTGGCTCACTCTTCCTGGCATTGCCCGTGGTGGGCCCAGCCCATAGACTGGCAGACAGAGCTCCCCAGGCCCTTGGTGGCCACTGCCTTGGTCCTCCTCAATGACCGTAGAGGTTAACACTTTGGCCAGGCCTTGGCAGTGGAAGGCCAGGGTGGCGATGTCAGTGCAGACCTGAGGGAGGAAGGGGATCCCCAGCCTGTCCTGGACCCCCTGTTCTGCTGTGGTACTCTGGTAGGAGGCAGCAGGTGGTCACGGTGCCTCTGCCCCTAGCTGCTCAGTAGCAATGTGGTCAATGACCTGATGCTTCTGGAGTCCTTGCTGGACAACCTGGCAGCTCGACAGAAGGACTCGAGTACCAGTGTGCGGAGACTGGTGCTGCGTGGCCTGGCCAACGTGGCCTCTGGCTCCCCGGACAAGGTGGGTCCAGCAGGCCGTGGCTAGGGTGTGCAGATCCAGGTGGAAGTGGGCAAGGGTGGTGGCTGTGTGCAGCTGCTTGGGGCTGGGGGACAGTGCCTGCAGGGGCTAGGGGCAGAGCAAAGGCTGAATGCAGGGTTTCCAGGTGCGGGCCCACGGCCCCCAGCTCCTGACAGCCATGATCAGCGGGCTGGACGACGGGGATGACCCACACGGCCTGGTGGCCCTGGAGGCCATGGTGGGCCTGGCTCGACTGCTGGACCTGGTGGCACCCTGGGACCTGCGCCTGGTGCTGCTGCACACAGTGATCCGCATCCGGCCCTTCTTCGACAGTGTAGGCCAGCCACGGTGGGGTTGGGCACTGAAGCCAGCGTTCATGGCCCCCGGCCAGTCCCTGCCACTTCCCCATGGGTCCCCCGAGCCATACTTCCACCCGTCACTTAGGCCCCAACAGGTACTGTCTCCCCCAAGCCCCTAACAAGGAGTTTTTCTGTGGCAACCTGAGTTCTCTTCCCAAGCCCACCCCCTACATGGGACAGGAAGGATGGCACCTGACAGGGGCCCATAGCTACAGGCTGCAGGAGGGCCAGGGGGAGGAGCACTGTAAGGTGACAGGGCAACACCTCCGCCAGGAGAAGGTGGAGTTCCGAGAAGCCTCCATCCGCCTCTTTGGGCACCTCAACAAGGCCTGCCATGGGGACTGTGAAGAAGTCTTCCTGGAGCAGGTTGTGGGCGGGCTGGTGCCTCTGCTGCTACACCTGCAGGACCCTCAAGCCCCTGTGGCCAGTGTGAGTAGCCGATGGGGGAGGGGTGGGGCCTGGGCAGGGCGCGGGGCTCAGCGTGGTACCCTGTTAGGCCTGCAGGTTTGCCCTGTGCATGTGCGTCCCCAACCTGGAGTGCGAGGAGCTGGCAGCCACCTTCCACAAGCACCTGCAGGAGGGACGCAGCCTGCACTTCGGGGAGTTCCTCAACTCAACCTGCAAGCACCTGGTGAGATGGGCACCCGGGGGAGGCCCTGCCCGGGGGAGGCTGTCCACCCTTACTGCCTTGCCTGCCTCTGCAGATGCATCACTTCCCTGACCTGCTGGGCCGCCTGGTGAGCACCAACCTGTTCTACTTTAAGAGCACCTTGGAAGAGGTCCGCGCTGCAGCCCCCATGCTCACAGGTGAGCGCTGGCTGACCTCCTTACCCCCCGGACCCTGGGGCCCACCTCCACTCTTGCCACACACCTAACCCCACCTGCTGCAGGGTTCCTGGTGCTGCATGCAGAACCCGAGCAGCAGCCGCAGGTGGACCTGGAGCAACTGATGGCAGGTGTGTGCCCCTACAGCCTGAGCCCCCACCTCACCCCCCCACCCCCGCAACCTGCCCAGCTCTGCTGGGGCCCAGTGACCCTGTGGGCATCTGCGGGGACTAAGTGATTTTCCTGGATTTCAAGATTTTTTTCCCTGTCACTGGTGACCTCATCGTCTCTAGTAATTCACGGAAACTTCCTAACTGTTCCAAAAGAGCTTAAAAAACACTAAAAAAGGAAAAACTATCTTTCCGTTGGCTCCCAAGCCCTTCCAGCAGAGCTCCGTTAGGAAGGCTGTGGGCGGCCCCAGGAGCAGGCGCAGGGCGTGCACACAGCCGCCTCTCCCTCTGTCCCAGCACTGCAGCTCCTGCTGCGGGACCCAGCACCCGGGGTCCGGGAGAAGTCTGCCGAGACGCTGGGCCGCCTGGTGAAGTTCGCCTGAGGCAGACCAGCAGCCAACAGCCAACGGCACAGCGTGCCTGCACCTGCCAGAGGAAGGCCCTGCGGACCCTCCTCGGACACTCTGCTGCCAGGCGCTACCCGGACCCAGCCCCTGCTGGTGGGGAAGGTGCCAGGGGCCAGACTGGGCAGGGCAAGCCAATGAGCCCCCACAGGTCTCCCAATAAAGCCGTTTGCTCCTCAGTGGGTAACAGGGTGTAGTGATGTGGCCCCTCCTTCTGGGACAGGCCAGGAGGGTGTCCCAGCCTGGTGCAGATGTCCCCCCACTCCCATTTTAGAAAAAGCAATGAGGTGAAGTCCGGCACTGGTGGGAAGGAGGGGGAAGCCTCTATTGAGAAGACGCTGGGCACTGGCCCCCACCCCGCAGCAGGGCAGCAGCCTAGGTGAAGAGGCGGACCGTGCCGTCTGCCCCTGAGGAGAAGACCCACGGCTGCGTGGGGTGGAAGGCCACATCCAGCACACCCAGGTCCCGCGTCAGCACATGCCCCTTCAGCACCTTGACGGGCACGAGGAGTGGGTTCTGCAGCAGATCACTGTGGAAGAGAAGGACTCAGGACACAGCTGGACACGAGCGCCCCCGGGGAGCCAGACAAGGGTCAACACTCACTTGTACACCATGCCATGGCAGACGATGATGCTGCCGTCGTCCGAGCCGGACGCAAAGAGTGGGTATCGCGGATGGAAGGCCACGGCCCGCAGAGCTTTCCTGTGGTGCCTGGGGGAAGACAGGACTGCTAGCAGGTGCAGGCGGGAGGGGCCCTGCCGCCCCACTGCCGGCCGCGCCCCTCACCTCAGCACTTTGTACGGCTTGGTGGAGAGGTCCAGGTCGAACCACACCAGCTTACTGTCATAGCTGCCACAGATGATGTTGTCACCTAGGGACCAGAGCAGCAACAGGACGTGCCCAGTGCATCTACGGTGCACTCCCCAGCCCCACCGCAGGGACGTGTTCCTCACCTGCAGGGTGCACAGCCAGGCTGGACACCCACTTGCAGTTGGGCATCAGCTTTTTGGTGAGCTCCTGGCGCAACAGGTGGTAGACGCGGACACTGCGCTGAGAAGCCACAAACAGGAAAGGCCGAGTGGGGTGGAAGGCCACGCGCTGCACCTGCCCGTGGCTACGGCGGAATGGGCTCTGGCTGCGACGTCGGCTCAGCTGGTGAATCAGCACCTGGGTATGGCCTGGGGTGGCCAGCACCACGGCCAGGTAGTCCCCACGCCCATGCCAGGTCACCTGCGTCACTGGCTGTGAAAGAACATGAGGCTGCCTTGTTGGCTGGGGCAAGCCCATCCACCGCCCTCCCCCCACACACCTTATCGTGACAGATGCGCAGCCGCAGGCCCCTTGGGTGCTCCTCCTCCAGGGCCTCCACCCAGCGCGCAGGCTGCAGGGCAGGCTCCTCTGGCGGGGTGAAGGAGCTCAGCAGCTGGTCGGTGCTGCTTGCCAGCAGCCGGTCCCCCAAGGCTGGGTTCAGCAGCAGTACTGCATCATCCCTACAGGGCCAGGGTCAGAGGCAGCCCCTCAGCACAGTGCCCCCCCCCCCGTACCCCTCCCATGAAGAGCCCTTCAGGACCCACACTCACATGGCCGCAGCCACCAGGCAGATGCTGGGGTTGGGGTTCCAGGCAACACTCCTCACCACAGCCCCCACAGGCACAGTCCCCATGCAGCGGGCAGTGGCTACCTCCCAGAGCCGCAGCGAGCCATCATCTGAGCCTGGGAAGAGCGGGAAGATGCTCAGTGCCTGCTCCCCCGAGCCGGCCTCCAAGCACAGGGCTGACCCCCCCCCCCCGCCCCCAGGCCTACCTGAAACCAGCCACTGGCCCCCTGGGGAGACACTGAGGCAGCGGACAAGGTCACTGTGGCCCTGGTAGACCTGCAGAGGAGAAGCGACAGTGAGGAGACAGATGCCAGGGTGCTGGCCACACCCCCCGGGCCCCACTCACCAGGGCCTGGCACGTGGGGAAAGGCTGCAGGTCCCTTGGTCGTGGCAGTCTGGGGATGAGGTCTTCGGGGTCCACATTCACCTGGGGCAGGAGAGCAGTTGGTCACCGTGGCCCCGGCCCCGCCCCCGCGCCCCTCATCTTCATGCCACCCCGCATACCCTCATCTTCCGCTGACGTGGGCACAGGTACAGATCAAGACAGCGCTCAAAGCGCTCCTGGATAAATCGGCCATATGCAGGGACGGCCCGTAGGCTGGGGAACTTCCGTGGCAGGAAATTGAGCTTCCTCTCTCCAGGCTCCTGCTGTGCCCAGGCCAAGCGCTGTGGAGACCGACCGGCAGGTGGGGTGAGCGGGGAGGAGGGCACCCCGAAGCCCAGACCCCACCCCCCCCAGACACACCTCCTCCTCAGTGGGCAGGTACTCAGGAGGGGGGTTGTAGGACTCGGCGTGGCCAGGCAGGGCCAGCTTGGGGGCAGGCACATGCATCTTGTGGCGCCCCAGCACAGCATTGGGGTCCTCTTGTGCCCACAAGTCGTAGAATCTGGGGGTAGGGTCTCGGGGCCGGCGAGGCTGGATCCAGCCCATCTTGATGGCATGCACCATGCGAGACACCTACATGGGGAGCCTCGGGTCAGGACAGAGCACAGGGCCTCAGCCTGCTGGGGGACAGGCCTCACCCTGCCCGAGGGCAGGCAGCTCCCACCTTCTCTCTCTCCACCAGGGACGGGATGAAGCTGCGTTTGTCGGCAGGGCGGTTGGTCACTGGGTGGATCATGATGTCCCCGCTGAAGAAGTCCACAGCCGGCTAGGGAGACAGGTGTGGTGTCCAGGCAGGGGCCCAGCCCAGCTCCAGATCCCCAGGGCCAGCTGTCCCAACCTACCTCATAAGGGTTGAAGCTCACATCCCCAAACTGGCCTCGCTGTAGCCGCTGCACCAGGGCCACCTGCTCATCCGTCAGCCGCAGGTCATGCCCTGTCATCCTGTCCTTCACCGTGCGCCTGGGGGACGGCCAGTTAGAGCCAAAGCCCTTGCTTCCAGACACTCCCCAGGCCCCACCCAGAGGCCCACTGACCAGAAGTCAGGATCGTCCATCTTATCCAGAAACTGGTCCAGCTCATCCCGGGTCCGCAGGGGCTTGTAGATGCGCCTGCCATCCAGGTCATAGCCCACATGCGGGAAGTCCTCGTACCACTCGAGAGGCACATTGCCCACTGTGTTCCGGATGTCCTGTAGCCAGGGCCACCATGTCAGCACCTGTCCCACCATGCTCTCCCTCCCTGTAAGCCCCCCTGGGTTTAGAAAGAGAGAGAGCAAGAGCAAAGGGACCGGCCTCGAGCACCTGAGTCTGGCAGACCCCACATGTGCCCTTTCCCTGGCCCTAGGGTCTGACGTGGCACAGCAGCCGGCGCTGCTGCCCCCCCAGGCCTCTGAGGCCCACAGCCGCACCTTCACATTTTCCACTGAAGTGGTGCCAGCCCTGGCCTCCCCCTCGTCAGATTCCTTGGCCAGGGCTCTGGGCAGCCACAGACAGGGATGACCTCATCGCCCACGGGCTCCCTCCCCTGGCAGGGGGCCTTAGGCCAAAATGGGTAGCTAGAGACAGGGATCAGGGGGACACCCCTCCCCACTCACTCCACAAGGTGACAGAAGTCACTGCGCTCTGCTCTACAGGTAGCTGGAGACCTCCCTGCCCCTGCTGGCCCTGCCCCCTCCCTCCTTCGGTGGGCAGAGCAGCCACATTCCTGGACTCACATTCCTGGTTTCAGCCCCTGCCAGCTACCACCCTCACTCCTCCAGACCAAGGACTGCTGCCCAGGCAGCCGCTTCCTGCAACAGTAGCCATGGGGGTAGGGGCCCAGACAAGACTTGAGTCCAGCTGGGTGCTCAAGGCCCTTCTGCAGCAGGACAGGACCTCTTGGCCCCTCAGCCCCTCTCAGCAGGCCTGACCAGGCCCTCTCCTTGGGCCCTGTGGTCCCATGGGGTAAGAGGTCTCCAGCACCCCCCACATCTACACAGTCAGCCTGTCGTCCTCCACCTTGGGCTGGGGGAAGGGATGGCCATCCCCGGTTGGAGGGGCCCTAGAAGGAGCTGGTCTCATCTGGGTATGCTCCGGTGTTGAGGAGGCTCCAGAAGCACCAGGCAGGGGGAAAGGGGGGCAGTAGTGGTCTAGGATAAAGAGGGGATGCTGGCAGAAGGCACAGACGTGGAGCAGACAGGTGCAGGGCACAGACTGTGCCACCCCACACACAAGTCTTTGGGCAGCAACCGCTGGGGCTGACTTCTGGCCCTTCTACACTCCTGTGGCTGGCACACGGCTGGGCACAGAAGGCCATGTGCCAGCAGGAGGAACAAGGGGGCCAGGGCATCTGGGTAAACCTGGGCAGGCGGAGGGAAAGCCTGCTTGCTCATGGGTTCCCCCTGAACACCAAGAGAGAAGGGCAGGCACCGAGTTCCTGAGGGGGTCCAGTAGCACCTGGGGCTTCCACTTCGCCTGCATCCCAGAGCCAGAAAGATGCTCCAAGGCAGGGGGGGGGGGGGCCGTCCACGAGATGGCAGGAACGGGGCGCGGAGCCCCCCCCACTAGGCAGCCCAGCCTCACTTGATGGCCCGGCCTGGACGGGCTGGGCCTGGGAGGAGGCGGCGGCGCGGGGGAGGGGCCGGCCGGCGCTATAAAGGCGCAACTCGCGGCCCCGCTCCAGCCAGGACGCACGTGTGCGCGCGGCGCCCGGCAGCCGCCACCGCGGGGCGCAGCCGAGACCCGCGCCTCGCCCGGCCGGCGGCCCGCGAGGCCCGTGGCCGCCGCAGGAGCCGGCATGAGCGGCGCACGGCGGAGCTGACGCCGGGCCCCCCCCCCCCCGCCCGGCCCGTGTCCTTCACCATGCTACGCTCGGCCCCGCCGGGCCGCTACCTGTACCCCGAGGTGAGCCCGCTGTCTGAGGATGAGGACCACGGCAGCGAGAGCTCGGGCTCGGACGAGAAGCCCTGCCGCGTGCACGCGGCGCGCTGCGGCCTCCAGGGCGCCCGGCGGCGGGCCGTGGGCCGGCGGGCCGGGGGCGGCGGGCCGGGGCCCGGGGGGCGGCCGGGTCGCGAGCCCCGGCAGCGGCACACGGCGAACGCTCGCGAGCGGGACCGCACCAACAGCGTGAACACGGCCTTCACGGCGCTGCGCACGCTCATCCCCACCGAACCCGCCGACCGCAAGCTCTCCAAGATCGAGACGCTGCGCCTGGCCTCCAGCTATATCTCGCACCTGGGCAACGTGCTGCTGGTGGGCGAGGCCTGCGGTGATGGGCAGCCGTGCCACTCCGGACCCACCTTCTTCCATGCGGCGCGCACGGGCAGCCCCCCACCCCCGCCGCCGCCGCCGCCGCCAGCCCGAGATGGCGAGAATGCGCAGCCCAAACAGATCTGCACCTTCTGCCTCAGCAACCAGAGAAAGTTGGTGAGCAGGGCCCCAGCGCCAGGGGGCCCACCTCACCCCTCCACCCACCTGCCTTACAGAGAGCTAGGCTGGGCAGCACTCCCCAGCAGGGCACAGACAGGACACCAGCCACCCAAGCTGGGCCCCAGGGAGGGACTGACACATGGAAGCTGCCTTTGGGAAGGAAGGAAGCTGTTCTCTCTTGGGGCCTCTTCCTAGGAGACTGGCCCTGGCTGGAACAGGTCATTGGGATCTGCAGATGTAGGGCCAGGAGGTAGGGATGGCTAGGAGGGGTCACTCTAGGGCAGGGAGCCCAGGGGGAAAGCTGGGTGGACACCAACCTGGGAGATGCTGAGGATTTCTCAGCAAGTCGGGAAAGGAAGTACACATGAGCCCTGCCCTCCGGCAAAAGGGTAGCAAGAAGGCACTTTTCTGAAGGGAACCCCTGGGGTCCAGCTATCACCACTCCTTAGCCCCGGCAGCCCACCACCCACCCCCAGGGCTCAGTGAGCACCTGCTGCCCCTCCCCCTGACCCGTCGGAGGCAGAAGGCAGAGGCCACAAGGGACATGGGTCTGGGGGTGAGGGCCAGGCTCTGGGAGATGCTGGCCAGCCTTGATTTACAGCTCCAGCCCAGCTTGGTGGCACCGGAAAAGCAGGGTGAGCAGGGAGAAAATACAACGACTTTTCCCAATCCCCATTTCCTCTCCAGACAGCACGCGCGAGCTCCTGGGGCCTGAACATCTGGGAAATTTAATTTTACAGTTTCGGCTGTGCAGCAGTATACGCCCCTCCCCAAAATGCACGGGGGGGAGGGGGGGGAGAGCCAGGAAGGGGGTGCCTTAGCACTGGCCATCTGAGACAGCACCCAGCAGGAAGCCAGAGAGGCCAGGGCTGGCACTGGGTGACACAGGGCCTCTGCCCTGGCCCTGACGCCCCTCCTTCCCTCTGCAGAGCAAGGACCGAGACAGAAAAACGGCAATTCGGAGTTAGGAGGAGGGCCCGAGCAGCCAAGGCGGATGCCTGGCGAAGGTGGATGCCAGCGGGGATGCCCACAGCCCCAACTTGGACCTGACCTGGGCATGGGCCCAGAGAGCACCCACCAGGCCAGACCCGCCCCTGGTTGTGAGCAGGGCCAACGGACACAGATGGACAGACAGGCAGCGGCCTGACTTTGAGTAGCTCAGCACTCGCCCGGCCACTGGAACTTTCCATGCTGGCTCCCTACCTGGGCCAAGTGTTGGCATCCTGCATCTCTGATGTGATAATATAAAGTGTGGAAATTTTGTATAATTAAAAAATGGAACACTACCTTCCAAATATGGAGGCAGACTATCCTCTTGAAAGGTTCTGAACTCACCATGCGCCCTCAGCTGAGCTTGCACTCCCACCCCCGGGGCTCCATCCTTCCCTGCCTGGGGCGCCCCGGTTCTCTGAGAAGCCCCGGCTTCTAGGACTAGACTGAGGCAGTCTCGCAGAGGCACCCAGTAAGAGTCTCCTATTGGGAAACTGGGGTGGGGCTGAGGACAGGCCAGAGGAGAGGGACCCAGGAGGGAGCAAGCCCACTGTCCTGCAGGGACAGCAGGACATGCGCAGTGTGGGGCCTTGGGCTGGCTTATACATAGGCGGCTTGGCCAAACAGTACTCCTCAGAGTGGACATAGGGTTGGCCTGATAGCAGCCAGGTGACAGCCATATAAGTGCCACACTGGTGCCCACCTGGGCCCACAGCCTGCCAGGGCCACCCTGCTCTCCTGTCTCTGTAAGCTGTCATTGGGCCATAAGGTACCCTGCCCTGAACAGCACACTGAAGGAGGACTCCTGGATATCTACCACTCTGTCCCACCCAACTTCCTGAGAGACCCCACTGGCGTCCAAAGGGATCAGTTTAGCCCCCCACTGGGCTCCTGCCCAGCAGGCCAACTGTTATTACAGTCCTACAGGGGACAATTTAGTTTAGTGGCAGAGCTCTGTGGGCATAGTAGAGAAGAAGGGCCAGGCAGTCCCATGCAGACCACCTTCCCCACTGATCCGGGCAGCCAGCAGCCTGACTTCCGGCCGGGTGGTAGGTAAGGGTGCCAGGTGCAAGAGGCTGCTGTCCCAGGACGCTCCTCAGACCCTTGCCCTCCTGGCCTTCAGCACAGGCACTGCTGTGCCCCTGCCCTGGGGAGCCCAGGTGCTGAAGCCCTGGGCACCATCACAGGGCAGGGCCAGAGCTGCCCCTCCTCTGTATGATGGGCTCCAGGGAACATGGAGCAGGAAGCAGTGGTGTAATTTTGTAGGAAATTCTCAAAGCCAGAGCCATTACGGATGGGGGGTGGGCTGTGTCCAATGTGATAGAAATATAACAGGATAAAAAGTCTCAGCGGCAGGTTTCATTCAGAGAGAAACCCAACCCCAAATTTCCTCCCCTTAATCCTGCAGGAGCCCACAGCTGGCCAGAGGGGGGAGGAGAGGGCACATTCGCTGCAGAAACCCCTGCCTGCCCAGGGAAGCCAGGCCCGGGGGACCAGGGGTGCAGCTGGGGGCTGAGGGAGGTTCTTTCCCCCCATGTGTTCTCCATGCAGCACCCTGCCCAGCCGCCCTCCCAAACAACAAGATCACTGTATGATGCTGGGCAGAGTGCAGGGCATGACCTGGCAAGAGGTGCCCGTCCCCGCCGCAGGTCCCGTGAGCACTGCCGCTTGCCTCCCCTCACACACAGATCCGGGCCAGGCAGGGGTGCAGACAGCCACCTCTGGTTGGAGTGGCCTGGGCAGTGTCGGGGATAAACCAGAAGACACGCACTGCAGAGAGCACTGAGGGAAA